AAAGACACCGGGCCAGACAGTATGATGCAACGGAATTTATTAGGACGAGGATGGTGGGCACTGGAGTGGCCCCAAGGGGCGGGAGGCTCTGGGGAGGGTAGCCAAAAGGCCGTGCACCTAGAAGCCACAGCTTCTAGCCACAGGTATGCACAAAGCGGCGGCACTTCATGACCCGCAGGTAGGTCTCGACCTTGTGCATGTCCTTCTTGAAGCAGGAGAGCAGCCCGTAGTTCTTGAGTAGTGAATCATCGCTGGGCAGGTTGGTGTCAAACTTGTCATAGTTTTGCTTTAGGACCTGTCCAGCTTGGTGGGTGCCATCCTCCAGCTCCTGCAAAGGGAAGGGAAAGGAGAGACCAAGCTTTTGGGAGCTGCGCCCTCCACTCCTGTCCACGTTTCTCCCTCCCTCTCAGGGAGAGGATTCCCAAGGAGAAATGAAGGTCAAGCCTGTCCTCGGAAAAGCAGTCTTAGTTTTCTGCCTACACCAGGGAAGCTGAGCTTTCCAGGGCTGGGTCGTGTGCCTCTCACCCGCATCAGGGCTTGAATGCCCTCCTCTAGATCCTTGAGCTTCTCATAGACGCGGTCTGAGGTGCCAAACACCAGGCTGTTGGTGAAGACTCTGCTGAGGAACTGCACGGGCTCGAGCCAGGACTGGATAAGCAGCAGCGAGAAGCGGAGCAGCTCCATGTCCTGCAGGGAAGAGCCGACCATGGCTGTGTGGCTGGGACCCTCCGCCAAGAGCCTCCCATGCCCTTCCAGCCTAGGGGGCAGGGGAGGAGTGCTTCTATAGAAAGACGGAGCTTTGGTCCTGAGCCAGTGGGGGTCACTCACAGATGTCTGCTGGACCTTGTCCTTGCCCATGGGGGCTGGGATGGTTTCTGAGAAGCAGAAGGCAGTCTGGGCAGCCTGGATGGAGTACCGCTGTTCCTCGGGGATGTAGGCACGCTCCTGGGGGAGGATGGCCGAGGTCTAAATCCGGGTGGCTCTTGCCATGGCTGGACTGAGCACCCCTCCTCCGGCTACGTCTCCATTTGTGCAATACAGCACTGAGCTCCGTAGTTTCCCCAGTACTTCCCAGGGTTGGTGTGTGGGGAGGTCCCACTTCCATTCCCTCCCCCGCCCTCCCCCCCACTACCTCCCTGCACCAACTCCCCAGAGCTTACAAATTCCTTGTAGGTGTCAGCGGCCAGCTGGTGCAGGTGCTGGGCCCGCAGCACAGCGTTGGAGAACAGGCTGGACAAGGGAATGGTTGGAAAGGCGACGGCCTCCCGAGGCCAGGCCAGGCAGAGCAGAGCACAAGCCAGCAGCCAGGTGGGGCGGCTCCCACAGCACCATTAGAACACATTGTGCCCGGAAGGATTTTAGGGGTTCTTACCTGCAGCCATTGTAGCTGGGTGAGCTGTCTACAGGGCCCGGGGTGGTTGGGGAGCTGGGCCCAGGATCCTGCAGTTGGTTGCTGGTGGCCCCTTATTATACCCTGGCCCCCTCCCGCTCCATCTATTTTCTATACATTTATGCATGGGCTGCTGTGCTGATGGATAATTTAGACGCCGCTTTCCTGGGGTCAGTCTCTGTCCAACCGTAACCAGCCACGTGAGGGTTGTGTGCACAGGGTCTCAGCTAGAAAGATCACCCACTCCGTCCTCTTTCGGAGGAGAAGGTGGTAGAAGGGAGTACCCGAGTCCAGGTGTACAGAAGCGTGTCCTTGTCTGTCTGGGTGAAGAGGGTGCAACCTGGTCCCCAAAAGGGGGCAGTGTCAGGGGACTGCTCCTTGGGGGCTGGGCTGGCCCCTTCTCCTCTCTATCCTCCCTGTCCTCCTCCTTCCAAGGTTCTGTCCACTCATCAGTGAGAATATGTACTGGGGAAAGGCACCAAGGACAGCCCTTGAATTTCTGGGGTTCCTGGCCATGGTTCAGCCAGAATCCCCCATCCCTTTTGCTCTCTAATGCTGACCACTAGGGGGCACCAGCCACACACATTGCCCTCCCCTTTCCCTGGACTGGGGTCTCCCAGGCTCTCCCAGGCTCTCCCAGGCTCCTGAAGTAAATGACTGGAACTTGAAGTATTGCCCCTGCTCCTTGCACCTGACACAGGAATGCAGCTCAGGAAGAGGAGCTCACAGGACTGACATGAACCCCAGAGGCTTCCTCCCACTGCCTGAAACTGTGAGAGGGTTCTGAAATTGCAAAAGCCCTGGAGGGCTTGTCTCCTCCCCAGCAGTGGAAAGAACACAGGACATGGTGCTGGATCCGGGACTTGAACAGCCATCAGAGGATGCTACCTACTGCTAGCTCTGTTCTTCCCTCCTTTCTTAGACCAAGGCTTGTGGTAGGACATACTCTACCTCCCTTTTACTCCCCATTCCCTTTACGTGACTCTCATACCAAGCTGGTCACTCAGTCCACTGGGTCAAGGTCTTCAGAAAATAGTATGTGGGACTCTCCAAGTGTTTTTCCATGGGAAGTGGGGAGAAGATCCATGTTTCTGAGTACCCACTACGTGCCAAGCTCTAGACTGAACAATAGGAGGTGACTCCTGTTTCATATTTTTGGACTCTGAGGCTCAAAGAGATAAAGTAGCTTCTATGTGAGGGCTCCCCATGGCCTCCAGTCTTTCTGCCATACCGAGCTCTTTAGAAGCCTCCTCTAGTGCAGATGGTGGCACTGTGGGACACGAACAGAACTTTCCTCAGTGCAAAGCTAGCAGGACAGGGATCAAGTCTCCCCACAGAAGTATTCAATGAAGATGGGGGAAAACGAACGCCAAGAACTTCAGCCCCAGATTGGGGTGTCTGCAGGCGCTAAGAAAAGCAGTAGAAAAAAACACCCCGATGTAGCTTGATTTAGTGAAGCAAGTCACATCACCCTTTACATTTGCACTGCACGTTTCAGTGTACATCGCGTTTTCACTTCCCGTATCTCATTGGGCCCTTGAGTTGGCGATGTGAGCAGAGGGCTCGAGCATGGAAGAAGGGCCTTGGAGGGCTGGGTCGGGGGCAGAGGCAGGCATTGCCATGTGTTGATGGGAACGTCGCTTACACTGATCTCCGAACAATCTGGACGTATATAGCCATCTACAGACTAGACAGGCTAAGTCATTTCCCCGTTGAGGATTATTCCCCAGGGACACAGTCCCACTAAAAAAGAGGTAATTAGTACCAAGGTGTGTCCCACAGTTGTGGGGAGCCAGGGGTGCTTCCCCCATTTTCTTTTTAATTTGCTAGAGGATGCATGTGTGCTTGGTTGGGAGAGACAGAAGGAGAAGGAAAATGAGAAACACCCTCCATGGAGGATGGTCATGCCATAACCCTTTCTCTTCCATCTCTCTTCTCTTCCATCACATGCACCTGGCATGTCCCTCAAGCTGCCAGGTCCAGTACTCAAACTGTGCAGTGGGCCGTGTGGGATCTAGCCACCTTAACCACCACCCCACCAGCCAGTCTGATTTACCTTTTTTTTTTTAAATTTATGTATTTCTTCCATCAGCAAGAGTGAGAGAGAGAGAGAGACAGAGACAGAGAGAGCGCCCCTAACAGGGTCTTCATGCTGTGGTTCACCCCAGCCTCAGCCAGCCCTGGATCACAGATGTGTCTGTGCCCAGTGTACTCAGCGAGGTCCCTGGACTTGAACCGGGAACCTTCCCATATGGGATTGCCTTGCAGAGTATCATGCTTTTCCACTTTCCTACCCTCTGAACCCTGGCGTGCTTTCCTGTTGGGTACCATCTCTCTCGTTTGTTTTTGGTTTTGTCTTTACCATAGGGCATATGCCCTTGCCAGAGAGAGAGAGAGAGAGAGAGA